GCCCCTCAGGCCCCTGGGGGGCCAGACCCACCATTTATACAAAATTTGTTCTTCTTCACCCAAGGATGCTCCACACCAAATTTTGTTAAAATCTGCTCAGTGGTTCATGACTAGTAGTGTAAAGTTGACGGACGACTGAGGCTGGGGTATGGCATAAATAAGCTCACCATGGTCCTTCGGACTGCAATGTAAGCATCATTTCACAGTACTTTACATGGGGAAACTTTCACTCTTCACTGGATTATTCTATATATCGCCCAGCATTATTTTTCTCCCTTCATTTGTTGACTAGTATATATAGTGGATTTTAGTATTTGTTATGACTAGTATATATAGTGGATTTTAGTATTTGCAGCCAGGATGGATTCATTGTGGAAGGTGCAAAAGACAAAAGTTTAACTGCAGCAAACGTTTTCCTGTTCTCTTTTAATGTCAATCAATGTGATCAATCTAACTGTGTCAGGTGTCATGTAAGATGAAATACCTTTTGGTGTCCTGGAAGTGAATTCCGTATCAAAGTAAAATGCATCATCTGTCTGTACAACAGCTGGTTTGAAGGGCGGGTTAGTTTTCCGGGTCATCAGTCTATCAAAGTCTATTGTGGAGAAAAATGGCTGTGTTTTGATGTCTTCAATACCGTTAACGCCCATTCCTGTGTGAAGAAATGGAATGATCATAAAACATGAAGTCTCTTGTTACGACATTTTTACTTCAAGAAACAAAATCCTCAGTGGGCCTATATTGCCCTATAACAGTTACGTCGACATTTCAAGTCAGAAGGGAGGAATCCCCAGGTTTTCAGGATGCGTAGAACATACAAGCGTCATCAGCAAACTGATCAGTGATGCCAAGCAGAAAAAAGGTAACCTGACAGTGGTATGGTTAGACCTTGCAAACGCCTATGGATCTGTACCACACAAACTGAATGAGGCAGCCCTGGACCATTATCATATTCCGGAGCACATCCGGGAAATGATAATGAGCTACTTGGGAGGGATACAGTTGCGGTTTACAGTTGGGGAGAGCACTACAGCGTGGCAAGACCTGGAAAAGGGAATAGTTACAGGATGTACCATTTCACCTATACTCTTCATCATGGGAATGAATATCATCATCAAGGCAGAGGAGAGAGAAACCAGAGGACCGAGAATGGAGTCTGGCATCTATCAACCAGCCAATAGAGGCTTCATGGATGACCTAACGATCACTACCACCACACATGTACAGGCCAAATTGGTCTTGTCCGCGCTGGAGGAGGTGGTTACATGGGCACGGATGCAGTTCAAACCTCGGAAATCACATTGCATGATTATGAGGAATGGCAGACTCAGCCGACAGTTTGTACTGAAGGTCAAAGAGGAGATACCTTCAATCATTGGCGGCCCCATAAAGTGCCTAGGGAAATGGTTTGATGACACATGCAGTGACAGCCAGAACCACAAGAACACCCAAAGTCAAGTGTGCCAGTGGATGAAGAAGATCAACAGGTCAGGACTTCCAGGGAAGTACAAAGCATGGATATACCAGCATGGCATGCTACCAAGGCTCACATGGCTGCTGCTACTGTATGAAATACCAACCTCAACAGTAGAAGGGTTAGAGAAGATGGTGAATGGGTACCTGCGGAAGTGGCTTGGGGTCCCACCAAGTTTCACATCAGTTGGGCTGTACAGTTGTTCGGCAGAACTACAACTACCATTCAAATCTGTTGTTGAAGAGTTTGAAGTAGCAAAATGCAGGCTGGTGATGACTCTGAGGGACTCCAAAGACGTGAAAATCAGCGAGGCAGGGATACAGACAAGAACAGGGAGAAGGTGGTCAGCAAGCACTGCAGTTGGTGAAGCAGAGAGTATGCTCGAGTTGAAGGATATCATCAGGAACACCAGATTATCATTTCTGCTACGATCCGTGTATGACACGCTACCATCTCCTGTTAACCTGCATCAGTGGGGATTGACGAAGGATCCTTGCTGCAAACTATGCTGAGGAAGAGGAACAATGGCTCATATATTGTCTGGTTGCAAAGAAGCATGACAGGGTAGATACCGATGGAGGCATGACAACGTCTTGCGGGTCCTAGCAGATATTCTTGAAGTGGAAGGAAGGAAGAAAAGAACTGGTGTAAGAACAAACCAGGCTGGTATCAAGTTTGTGAAACCAGGGGAGAAAGCCACAGTGAAGCCTCGAAGCGCCTCATCCATCTTTGAACGGGCGTCAACATGGGAGATGAAGTTTGACCTTGACAGGAAGCTTGTGTTTCCAGGAATAGTGGAAACAACACTGAGGCCCGACAAGGTAATATGGACAGAGCAATCCAGACACCTCATCTCCATAGAGCTCACCGTACCATGGGAGGAAGGCTGCGAGGAAGCCCAAGAGAGGAAGAAAGCCAAGTATGATGAGCTAATGGAAAAGTGCAGGAGCAGAGGATGGACAGTATGGCAGTTTCCAGTGGAGGTTGGCTGTAGAGGTTTCCCCGCATAGTTAGTGTGGAGGACACTACAGTCGACAGGACTCACTGGGAGGGCAAGAGCTACCGCCATCAGACGATTGGGAGAAGCTGCAGAGAGAGCATCGTGCTGGCTATGGCACAAACGCGAAGAGCCAATGTGGAAGCCGACATAGACGAGTAGTGGTTTGGCCACCACTACTGACCCATCAGCCGGAGGATGTAGTGATTAAGGATCGAAACATCTGAAGAGGGCTGGCCATCACCTGATGACGTCAAATGAGGCTTCGCGACTAGAATGACAGCAGTGACAGACTACAAGTCAAGGATGTCACAAGATGCAGAATTACCATCATCTGTAAGCAATCATCGCTGACCTGGATATATGAGTAATCATGACAAATATTCTTATTTAAAAGTAATAATGCAAATATCGTGGCAGCCCGATTGCATGTATGGGGCATTTCTGAGTTATGACACAGAGAGGAAGCTGCCAAAAATGGGGCAAGATCCCTAGGCTAAGAAGACTGTTGAAAGTTGAGTAATATAATTTAGTGATGTTACACAACTGAGTCCTCAGGGGAACCTGTGTATGTAATTTGATTGGTGATGTACTTTCTGAGAAAATGTGAAATTTGTCAAAGGTCAAAGCATAGGTCACAGTGAGGTCATAGTGACCTTCTTCTTGCACTCTGCACTCCGCCATCCCAAGATGTCCTTGTACAGCAAATCTGGTTACTTCAGGTGAAAAACGATAGAAGCTATGTCCTTGACAGAAGGATGGAAGGAGTGCAAACCTATAGTCCCCCCAGGAACCAGTGGGGGACCTTTATGTGATACAGATCAAAAAGTAATATGCCTTGCCATTCTATATACATGTATATCTCAAACATTTCATCGAGATATCTTCAAAAGTTATGGCCTTCACAATGTATCTGACCTTTCACCTCAATGTGACTAGCTTGACTGTACGGACCAAATAGTGGTTGCCGACAAACTGCCTTGCCATCCTCCTACTTATACATGTACTCCTTAGATTTAATTGAGATGTCCTCAGTGAGTCAAAAGCTATAGCAGGTACAATGAATTTGACCTTTGACCTCAATGTGACCATGACCTTGGTTGTAGGGACACTTGAGTGGTATTAAACACACCACATTATAATTACCACCCTACATATATCCCATCAATTTCAATGAAATATCTTCAGTCAAAAGTTTTAGCCTCGATAATGAATTTGACCTTTGACCTTACAGGCACAGGCCCAAATGTGGAAAGTCACACTTGTACACTGCCTGTCCATCCGACATATATCCCTTAAATTTCATTGAGTAACAAATTATGGTCTGGACAAACAATTTGGATGGACGACAATGCTGCAAATATATATTCCCTCAAATTTCATCGAGAACAAAAATTCTTTTTATAATTTAAAGCTGACTATCTTTACCTAGTCTGTTCTGAGGATTCCGCTTGAACAGTGCTCTCAGCAGTGACTGTGCCTCAGGAGACAAAAACTGTGGCATTCCTAGTTTTGCTCTGAAACCAAAAATAAAGTTTTTAAAACAAATGCCTATAACTGATAGTACAGAAGGATTTGTTTTAAAGTTTTTAACATGCTTGACCCTATAAGGTCATTTATTTGAACAAATATGATAGCTTTTCATATCCACGCATACTACTGGCTAAATACAATCACCTTAGGCCTCTAGCTGACTCAGAAGAAGTTGCTTAAAAGTAAACATATTTGAACTCTGTAACACTAAATATGGGTGAAGCTTATTCATTTGTCAAACTTGATACTCTTCATCTAAGCAAACTACAGGCAAAATATCATCCTTGGCCTTTTACTTATCTAGATGAAATCGTTTTAAATGTTTTGAACACATTTCATCCATGTGAACTTAAAAGAAGGCTAAGGTAAGATAGCCCTTCAATCACATTTACTACAATATTGCTTCACAATGATCTAATGACCTTGACCTTTGACCATACACCAACAGGCAACTAAAATCAAACAAATCAATTTACTGTTGCAAACAAGAGGCCCAATAGGCCTGCATCACTCACCTGGTATTAATCTCACAATTGTAACCTTAAAAGTGGACTAAAATAAAGCTACAAGCAACACATCAGTGTCTTAACTCAAAGCCATTCAAAAGAAGATGTTCAAAGACTTAAACATATTTGACCCTGTGACCTTTGAGTCAATAATAATAAATGATAATTTGAGGTTCTTATATACCGCTTTATCACAACCTAGTTGGTAGGTCGTCTTAAAGCGGTTCACAAATTATTATTCATGGTTATAGGGCCTTTGCAACCAGCTAATATCTTTCTCAACTCCCTGAGGAGTATACAGCCGGTGCTGCCACTTCGGCACTCACAGCTAGCATTCAACAATTCTAGCACTGCCCAACCACATACTCATTTACAGCTGAGTAGACTGGAACAAGCGGAGAAAAGTATCTTGTTTAAAGATACAACAGAGTGCCGTAACGTGACTTGAACCAGCAACTTGGGTCACGAGTGCGGCGTCCTACCACTAGACTAAAGCGCCTACATCAAACAAGGACATTAAAGTGGCTCTACACATTGTCATTAGTAGTGCTGGGAATCGGTCAGATAGTCAACATCTATAAACGGAACTCCATAATCGATCGATAATCGTTTTAAATGACCTACTCATGTAACATAAGAGCCTGGCCGATTTATTATCTGATGTAAATGTGCCGACTGATGAGAAAATGCTCGTTTCCGTAATTTAGGTGGAAGGAAGGATTCAATTATATCTTGTATAATTTTAATAATTTATCCAAAAAAACCACTTCTGCTAGCTTCATTTTACTAGCTTTCAAATATGGCGGTTTCGGTTGATACAAAATGCGAATGTATGTATTATATGAAAAAAATACAAGTGACGCAACGAAAAGCAATTCCGATTTTTCCCCCATATAAAATTCTATATATATATTAACCACCTTTATAATGTCGGTGCAGATGTTGCGTCAAGTTAGAAAAGGAAAAATCATTATTAATCCATTTTTGCACGACATAATGCAGAATTTATCATGGATTTGTAAAAAGAGGTATTTTTTTAATCTGTCAACATTTAAATTTATGTATGAATGCTAAATTTCATCAAAATCCGAACTTTGAAAATGTGGGTAAATCGCTGATGGGAAGGTTGAGGTTACAAGGTTCTTGTCGTAAGGTTCTTGCCATGTAAACCTCTAACATTGTTGAAGTATTCACTGACCACTGACATTGACTATGTGACACTTGAATGTGGACATGGTTTCAAGCGAGAATTTACACAATATTTGACATAGAATTACACATTACAACTGTTTTTTGGAATTTTAATTCTTCATTACAATTGAACATATTCGATCTTTCATCAGCAAAATCGATTATTGGAACGGACCCTTTTCAAACTCGATTTAATCGATGTTTCCGATTATCAGTCCACCACTAGTCATTAGTTTCCATTTTTGCGACGTACAGCAGATTGAACTTTCTCAGTAACACCGGGTTAACAATAGTACACGTGTGTGACGATGATATGTGAACACCCCATATCGAGACTAGGAAATGTGTAATCACACGTACTTCAGAAATAAATCTTCTGATAAAAAGACATGCTGATCCACGGAAAGACGCTGACATTTTACCAGATGACTTCAAGAAGGTCATATATGAAGCACATGGAATGCAGACTGATGTGTTTTGTGTACTGAACTCACATGTGTATATCACATGCTTACAGGAGTTAACAAGCTCAAGGTTAGATAGACGCTGTCGAGCGAGTTATGCTCTTTGGAGTAAAGAGTTTTTACAAATGCAGTGCATTTTTCTCTGTGCAAATAGTGTTTTGTAAAATATCAAGATCCCTATGAAAATCCATGTGTAGGTACACATGAGACGGCATACCATGCGATAGCCTCTGGTTACATATATATGTACCCGACAAATCAATAAACCATGAGCTAGCGGGTTCTGGAATGATGTCCAAATTAAAGTGTACATGATTGAGAGTAATTTGGTTCCTTAAAAGAACAATAAATTGACAATTTCGATACTATTATTTTCATTTTTTCCCATTATTTTTTATATATGTATGTAAAAAGAGATAACTGTCATTATGTCAATTTTATCCCTCTGCAAAACGTTTCTGATTATTCATGGAAGAAAACTCTCACAGAGATATAGGTGATTGTTTAAGGTAACATAAATTAATAACTAGAATTTTGTTTGTGTGAACAACAAGAGGCCCAATGGGCCTGCATCGCTCACCTGGTTTTAATTTCACACTTGTAATCTTAACCCTTAGGCTGCTATGCACGGCATGTTGTTTTGAAAAGTCGGGCCGTCGGTGCTACGCATGGCATATGTCGTTTCTCGGTCTGTTGGTTTTGATCGGTAGCCAGGAAGTGTGAAGTTGGGTTGTTGCTATTCCAAACCCGAACGTGTATAGTAGAAGGCTTCTGATTGGTTGTTTTGTCACTACTTTCGATATTCACGGCAGTGTACCCTAGTAATAACCAAAGGTGTGCGAGAGAATTTCAAACTCGAAAAAAAAGTCATAAAAGGGCGGACATGTAGATTGAAATGATGAATATGATGGTAAACATTTATTCTCCAGCGTCACCTACGATGATAATAAAGGTTTTGAAGGGTTTGACATGGATGATGTGGAAATGCTTCGTGTAACATTATATGTATTTTTCCAATAAACGGCTTTGTGCCCTACGCAAACAGGAAAATATTGACGGACCGAGACACACATGTCGTCTGCAGGTGAGGCCGAATTGAACATTGACATCGATACGTTTATAGCCGATTTATTTCTTGTAACTTTTTATCGATGATTTAATCATAAACTAGACCGTAGCTAAGATATATCTATATGCCGACTGTGACAGTAAATGTAATGAATGGCGACCTGAAACCTGTAGCAAATCACATGTAATTCTTGACGAAATACCTGACCTTTTTACCTGAGAATCTCCGCGTAAATATACAGCGTTTTAAGTCAACAAGAGGCCCAATGGGCCTGAATCGCTCACCTGGTATTAATCTCACACTTGTAATCTTAAAAATGGACTAAAATGCAGCTACAGGAAGAATATCAGTGTTTGATTCATAAGAGCCTATTAAAAGATTTAAAC